TTTTATTTTTTATTTTTTTCATTTATTTTTATTAGTTGGAGGCTAATTACTTTACATCATTGCAGTGGTTTTTGTCATACATTGAAATAAATTAGCCATGGATTTCATGTCCTGGCTATTATAAACAGTGCTGTGATGAACATTGGGGTGCACGTGTCTCTTTCAGATCTGGTTTCCTCGGTGTGTATACCCAGAAGTGGGATTGCCACCAGCTCCATTTTAGATGTCTGAATCACAGTTCCTCTATTTTTGATTTTTAAATGATCTTAAACATGTCATCCCCAACAATGGAGAACAAGTGAAAAAGGCTGTTTCTCCAACCAGAAAGTTAGGGCTGAGGATGCAGAACACGGGTGGCCATAGTGGGCTGGCATTATGCAGAAATCTTAGAAAGCTCCCTGTTGGGACTGGTATAGAACTTATCCGAGGGAAAGAAATGCTCTCAGGCTGGTGGAGGGAAGGGGTATTTCAGGGCGGGATCTATGCTGCTTTGGCAGGGGAGGTATTTTGGGCAGGACCCATGTTACTATGAGCGGGGATATTTCACGGCAGGATCTCGGGTACTGGGAGGGAGGAGTCAGGGTCAGAAGGTGATGGTGTGTCTCTGTGTGGCTGTTGCTGGGGAGAACTCTGATTGTATCCAAAACTGGTGAGAAGCCACCTAGAGGTCCCAGAGTTCATAAGCAGAGCCTTCTGCCTCACGGCTGTGAGGAAGGCTGACTGAAGTGGGCCAGAGGTCTTCATTTTCAAGAAAGAAATCAGGCTGCAGCAGGTAAGGAACCCTCTCAGCAACGTCCCACCCCAGGACTGCATTTTTTCTGGGCGCATACCTGCTCCTCACTGGCCACCTCCAGGGAGCCAGACATGTGTGGTAGTGGTGGAGAGGGATGACTAGACAAAGGGCTGGGCAGGTTGGTTTCTGGACCTCTGTGTGCCCTCTTAGCGCAAAGGTAAAGCTCTCCAAGACAGAGGTGTGCTGCTGCCGCCGCCGAGTCGCTTCAATCGTGTCCGACTCTGTGCGACCTCATAGACGGCAGCCCACCAGGCTCCTCCATCCCTGGGATTCTCCAGGCAAGAACACTGGAGTGGGCTGCCATTTCCTTCTCCAATGCATGAAAGTGAAAGTGAAAGTGAAAGTGAAGCCGCTCAGTCGTGTCCGACTCTTGTTGACCCCACGGACTGCAGCCCACCAGGCTCCTCCGTCCCTGGGATTTTCCAGGCAAGAGGACTGTACAGACTCTTGAATGCCCTCAGCCGCACAGGGGTCTCACAGCAACTCTGAGACTGGTGTTGGGAGGCGAGCAGCAGGGGCAGGGAGGAGAAACAAAGGAGGGGGGAGGGGAGAAAGCAGTTCCTCAGGGACCCTCCATGAGCCTAGGTCACAGGGTCCTGGACAGCCCGAAGGGACGGGGCCTCAGGCTAGGCAGAATTTTGCTTTAAAACGAATATTTAATATTTATCTTGAAAAGGAGGAGGAGAATTTGCTCTTCCTGGGTGCTTTCCATGTGACAGTTTCTTTCCACATAACACACCGTTTAATTTAGTGTTCCACCAAACTCCGAAGCTGAATTTCAAGAGCGTCCACCAGGGGGCCAGGTACCCTGTCTGCTTTAGGTAGATCTCAGGGCAACCCACTCCAGTATGCTTGCCTGGAGAATCCCATGGAGGGAGGAGTCTGGTGGGCTACAGTCCATGGGGTCGCAAACAGTCGGACAGGACTGAGCGACTTCACTTCACTTCACGGTCCTCACGGTCACTGGGAGGTAAGTCCCCGGTCAGAATCCAAATCGAAGTGCCTCTAGGCCCCCTGCAGGAGGCCTTTTGACCTCAGGTTCACCCCTCCCCGGGGTGAAGCAGCTTGCCCCAGGACACGGAGCAGCAAGGGGCGCCTGGCTGCTGGAACTTCCTAGCCTCAAACTGAAGGCATGGGAGCAGACCATCCCCAAAACATTCAGGGGAGCAGGAATTCAAGCAGAAAGACACCTAGACACACACGAATCTCTACTTGGGGGAGAAATGAATTTTTTTTTTTTTTTTTTGGTTTAAGCTGGAAGAATACCTGTTTATTCTTGTCTCAGAGAGTAAAGCACTATTTCTCTTTTCTTCTTGCTATTTTGATCCCACCTTCTAAAGGCCTCTTCTGTGCAACCTCTCTTATGGCCCACCCCCTTTTCTTCTTCCCTAGTTTAAAACATCAATTCCCCGGTCCCCCCCCCCCCCCACGCCCCTTGTATCTGTCTATTTCCTCACATCTGCCTGCTCTCATCTTTCCCCAGAGACAGGGAACCTGTGCTCTAGACCTGTATTGACCACGTGTTCTCTAAGCCTCAGGGAAATCCAGTCAGGCTGGAGCCCCGTTTGAGGGATGAGGATACTGGGGCTCTAGGTCAGGCCAGTGGACCTAGTCGAAGGACATCCATTTAGCCCTCGGTGGGCACATACAAGCCGTGTGGTGACACAGGAATCCGCTCCCTAACCCCCCTCGGCCTCACTTGGAAAGGAGCCATCGGGCAAGGTAAAAAGGTCAGCCCGCCCCACTCCCCCTCCCCGCCGTGTGTCGCCTTCGGACAATATGTTACACTGTTTCTTCCACTGCCTGCACCTCATTGGTCCACCACCGCGCATCCTCATTGGCTGTCCACCACCCTCATCCACCACGGCCACACTGCGATTGGTCCACGCGCCTGTGCTGAAGTCTGTCGGGCCCAGTGGGAGCGAAGGTCCCCACTGTGTTTGGCACTTGAGGCCGGTGACCCACTGCCACCACTGTCATGGCTTCCCGCTGCCCATGTGCCCAGGTGTTCATCTCCCTGCGAGGGTGAGAGTCGACTAAACGCCACCCATTCACCTCCAGAATAGTGCACTGGACTTGTGGGTGGTTTATGTAATACATGCGACTTATTGAAACTCGTGGATCCAAACAGGTGGCCATTTAGGCCTGGGTTCAAACTTTTGTACATTTGTACATGTCATGCTGACACCCTACAGATTTCTGAGAATGATTCTGGGTTTTGTTTAAGCATGATCTTATAAGCATAGGGAACCAAAGGAAGCTGCTGGTGGGTTGCAAAACATCCAGTGTCTTGTATGCATTTACTTAGGATTTGCTAAGAGACTCTGTGTGTGTGTGTGTGTGTGTGCGCGCGCGCATGTGCGTGTGTTAAATCGCCTCAGTCCTGTCCGACTTTGTGATTCTATGGACTGTAGCCCGCCAGGCTTCTCCAGAAAAGAATACTGGAATGGGTTGCCCATGTCCGCCTCCAGGGCATCTTCCCCACCCGGGGATCCAACCGACGTCTCCTGCATTGACAGGAGGGTTCTTTACCGCTAGTGCCACCTGGGAAGCTCTAATACAACTGGATCACACTCAAATGGTTTAGGGATTGATAATTTAAGATGATTGAAAGTTACTTTGAAACTTGGAAAGGGTGAAGTCAGTTTTTTTTTAAGTTTAGCCTAGGAAGTTTTTTGTTTTTTTTTTTTAAGTTCAACTCTAGGTGGCTTCCCAGTCCTTCACTATCTCCCAGAGTTTGCTCACATTCATGTGCATTGAGTCAGAACGCTATCTAACCATCTCACTCTGCCACCTGCTATCCTGTCTTATATTTATACTGATGCACTCTCGGAGAGACACTTTAGATGCTGAATACATGGATCCTGACAAAGGATCTTTTTTTGTTGACAAAACAAGGTTCAAATGAGAAGCCAGTGTGACCTGGGTCTGAAAAGCTTCTCAGAGAAATTGGGGCTTAAATTGAGAACTGAAGGACAAGCTGACTCTAGACAGGTATAAACCGGGGGTGGGGGGGGGGGTGGCATTCTAAGTAGGAGGGAAAAAAAACGGAGACAGGCTATGGAGGCAGCCTCTGGAGGCAGCAAGTCTTGGGAGTGTCTGCCCCCTATAGGAGAGGCAGAGGGCTGCACCCTTATCCCGTGCGGCAAACTTCACAGACGGGCAGATCTTTCCAGAGGAATGTGTTCCGGTAAGAAACCTGAGAGGAAAGTCAAATTATCAGTATTGGCACAGGAGAGCTCTAGACTCCCCACAAGTCCAGAGGCCTTTGGCATTCATATGCCTAGACTATTAGAGAATTTGAGACTCTGGGAGGACCTTGGTGTTTTTACCTCAGCCTAAATGTCAACCTAAATGCCCTGGTGTCCAGGCACATGCATTTCTTTTTAATTTAAACAGGAAAAGAAGACTCATATTCTTAAGTTCGAAAGGTTCTTGTTTTTCCCTGTAAGGTGTGCTGTCCTTAGTCCCTCAGTCGTATCTGACTCTGTGACGCCATGGACTCTAGCCCACCAGGCTCCTCTGTTCATGGGATTCTCCAGGCAAGAATATTGGAGTGGGTTGCCATTTCCTCCTCTTGGGGATCTCCCTGACACAGGGTTCAAACTCAGGTCTCCTGCATTGCAGGCAGATTCTTTACCACTAGTACCACCTGGGAAACCCTTGTTTTTCTCCGGGCTTCCTGTTCACTTCGCTGTTTCACTTTGCTTCCTATTAAAGATTTGTCTGTGTCTGGAAATTGGAGACTATAAAAGGTGGCCTCTGATGTAACCTAGCCGTCAGGCTGGATGGGCCTCTGATTCTGTGGCTAGGGAAGACCTCAAAGAGTTGGGACACACCTGCCCACCTCTCACAGACTGTAAAGAATGAGATCTCAGGGTACAGCCTGCCCTCCTTGGCCACTGTGGTCAATTAACAAGTGTTCAGTGAGAACCTGCAAGGTCTTGGAGGCTTCCTGCTGTAAAGCAGCTGTGCCCTTCAACTGTAAGTCAGGTATGAGCACCTTGGGTTTTCAGGAGTCGAGTTTCGATAACAGGTTTTGTATCACCTATGGTTGATTGTGTATCTGTTGTCAATTATACTCATTGGTTTGGGACCTTTTACTTGGGAATTGTTCCCCTTTTGGCTTCAATCTACCTTCCTTTCTCTTTAATATTTTACCTTTACTATTTAGGGCCAAGCCAAGCCTAGCACCTTGCAGCTTCTCATGGAGACTGCAGGAGAAGGCAGCAACCCCGGAGGCGGGGTGACGCCCCGGCCCCTCCAGAAGCTGGAGCAGCGGGTGGCCCGCAGACGCCTGTCCCAGGCCCGCCACCGAGCAACCCTGGCGGGGCTCTTCGGCAACCTCAGGAAGGCTGTCTACTCCCACTCTGATCTCACAGCCTCAAAGGTATGGGGACCCGAGGGGAGGGAGGAAAAGCTGTCACACGTGGAAAGACTGTGGAGCAGGGTGGAGACTGGCCTGGAGCTCCACCCCCTAGGGTTGCGGCCCAGGTGGGTCAGCGGCCCGCAGTGGACACCTCGGGACGCTCTGTCTGCTCTGGGCCCTACCTACCCCCTGCAGACAAGCCTGGCCTCAGGAGGGAAATGAGCTGCCGAGAGGCCAGGTAAGCTGGCCACACTGATGCCCATCCCTCTCATGGGCCACAGTGAGCCTCCAGCCACTGCCCAGACCCTGCATTCCCACTGTAAGCATACACAAACCACCCTCCCCCAAACCACGCCCCCCCACCCCAACTACAGGCGCATGTGTGTCCCTCAGTTTTCATGCACTAACCAGGTCTTTCCCTAGGTGGCAGGACTCTCCAGGTAAGCATTTGTCTTTTCCTGATCTTAATTCTGCCTTTCTCCTTACTGGGCTACTGTACTGCTGATTGCTCTCTCTGGCTGAGCACAGAAGGTTCACGTGGGTTCGGGTGGTGATGGAAGGATGGAGTTGGTATCACTGGGGGGAGCAGTCAGGAGGTCTCCAACGTGGGGGAGGTCACGATAGCCTCAAGGCCCCTCACCCTTTTTAACAAATGAGGGAACTGGAATTCAGACAGGACCTGCCAGCTGGTTGGTGGCAGGACCCAGGGAGAGGCCAGGTTTGGGAATCTAAGCCAGGCCCTCTTTCCACCGTCTGTCTCTCTGGACCAGCCCGTTGCTCCGCAACTGTGGGTTTCCCTCGGGGCTGGTGCTGCTTCCAGAGCAGGTACCCTTATGCCCGGATCCAAGGGGGGCAGGAAGAATCTTAACAGAGCTCCCACCTGCTCCTCTAGAAGGACACCCAGCTGTGGACGCCTCACGGCGCTCTGGCTGCTGCTGCATGTGGGTAAAGCTTAAGAGCCGCGCCTTACCTCCCCGCTGCAGACTAGCCTGACCTCAGAGGCCCACACCTGGGCCTCTCAGCAAAAGGCCTGTCCAGAACAACTCTGCTCCGTGCCCCCTGGGTGACATGCGTCCAGGGTGCACAACAACCCCAAGGCCCCTGTCACTGGCCAGTGAAGAAGTGTGCGGAGACGGGCAGCACAACTGAAGGAAAAACAGGTACTGGGGGCTGGCAGGAAGGAGTGGAGGTAAATCTAGAGGAAAACCCTCTGCACCCCTGAAAATTCATACCTCCTGATGTGGTGGCGGAGAGCCTGGCTGCAGGTCCCTTGCTAAGCTTCAGTTAACACATCAGTTAAACAGGGACCCCAGTCACGGTTTCCTGAGGCCTGCCGTGGATTTTAACAAGGAAAAGCATGCAAAACCTAGCACGGCCCTAGGTGGCTTAGATCGCCGGTGTCATTTCTCCATGCATCACCTCATTTCTTCCTCCCAGCTCTGTTCATGTCACCCTCACTCTGTAGAGGAGCAGGCTGAGGATCCAGAAAGTTAGACTATTTGCCTGGGATGGCACAGCCAGGGGGCAGCCTGGAAATCAAGTATCTTCTGTCCTGTTCTTCCTTTGTGCTCCTGCTGGAGGGACAATGCTGAGTTTTGCATTTCTAGTGTCCATGCAGAAAGGATTTGCCTTACAAGAGTGAGATGCACCATGTGTGGCAGCAAGGCTGTACCAGTTTTCTGTGGCTGCCAAAACAAAATACCATACAGGAGATGGCTTAGAACAACAGAAATGTCTCAGAGGTCTAGCCTCTAGAGGTTCAAAATCCAGGTGTCCACAGGACTGGGCTCTCTCTGACTGCCCTGGGGGAGAACACTTCCTGCCTCTTCTGGCTTCTGGCATTTGCTGGCAATCCTTGGCATTCCCTGGCTTACAGAGGCGTCACTCCAGTCACTGTGTGTGTCTGTCTCTATGTCTGAATTTTTTATAAGAACACTGGTCATACTGAGTTAGAGCCCACCCTCATGACCTCACTTGATTACCTCGAGAAAGGCCCTGCTTCCAAATAAGGTCACACTCACAGACCGGGGGTTAGAACTTTAACACATCTTTTTTTAGGGGGACATAATTCAACTCAGACAAAGGTCCTAAGAAAATCAGCCTGCCAAAAATGTTGTAGAAACAGAGTTTCGGTGACCGGCCCCTGGCCCTCCTGGCTCCGTTCTGGCCCAGGTGACACAGTCAGGCTGCAAGGTGGGCATGGGGTGGCCGTGCTGCGCGGACACAGGTGACCGTCCTGGCCCAGAGGGCTGGAAAGTCCTCGCCTCCCAAGCCTGAGGCTCAGGCAGCCTGTCGGCCCCGGGTATCCCGAGAGCGGACAGAGTCCTTGCTGACCCAGCAGTGTAATTCTGAGCCCGGGACTGGGGCCAGCAGCCGGTGTAGGACGGCAGGGGCCCTGCTCTAAAGGAGCAGTCCAAGATCCCCGTGGTCCGCTGGGTGTCCTGTCACCGTCCCGTGGGTCTGCAGAGTGGGGTGCCTTTAGTTGCCCTCCAGTCACCTTTTCACGCGCCAGCAGGATTCAGTCGGGCCCTCCAGGAGGGTGGGTCCCTCCTCCTCCCCTGCCGGCCCTCCCACAGTCCTCTGCGGTGCTTACCGAATTCTGCATTAAGAGGGGCTGTGGTGTGTTCTGTGTGATGAGTGGTTGTCTCCACGCTCATCTTCCCTCTTAGAATGTCAGCGGCCTGAAAGCTGGGCAGTTTTGTTTACTCTGTGACCCCGGACTGGGCACACAGCTCTTTGCCCTTGTGCGTGCCTGAGGAAGGTCTGGGACTCCTCACAGGCACTGGGCGGTCTGCATAATACACAATATTCAGCGTTTCTCATTGTTGTATAATCTTGCAGTTACCATTTTGACTTGAGTAATGTTACATCCAGTGGAGAAGAAAGGGAAGGAGGGAGCAAGGAAATGCTTGTGATTCTATTTTTGCAGGACAGGAAATTCATAGTTCAAATTGACAGAGCACTTGATAAGACTTTAGGTCAACTAGAATGTATGCATTTGGCAAACAAAAATACATTTTTGTATTTTTACTAACTAGTACATTTACTAGTACTAAACTAGTACATTTACTGTTAACCCACCTGTAGCACACTGTGCAAAGTGAGCATAAGTTAATTAAGGGGGGAGGACGGGGCTTTCTGCTGCCTCTGCAGACATTGTCCATCCCAACTTCACAGCGCGTCTATAGTCGTTTGCAGCCCTAACTGTCTGCTGAACACAGCTTAATGGTTTCCAAATGCTTTGATATTTCTGTGAGAACCATTTCCAGAATACAAAGTAAATGTCGTGCCTTCTGTGGCTTGGAACTAACTCCTGCCCTTTCTGTTGACGATGTCAAAGACTGAGACTTTGCACCCGAGGTGGGGGTGGCTTCAGGGCAGGAAAGGGGCTTCTGTGTTCACAAAACCAACTCTGCGAGGGGAGGCCGGCTTCTACGCACTGTCTGTCTCTGTCCTCAGTGGCAAGTTTTGAATAAGGCGAAGAATCATATTCAGGAACTGGAACAAACTTTGGATGAGCTACTGAAGCTGAAAGGTAAGTGATCCATAGCTGCCACCCCTCTGCCTCCCAGAGTAGGGCTGGTTGGTTTTTTCTGTTGAAAACAGAGAGATTGGGGTAAGCCAAGTGAACATATATTTACTGAGAGCCTACTGTGTGCCAGGCATTGTGCCTGGACCAGGGGTACGATGAGACCCATGCCCCTGTCCTCAGCGAGCTTAGGGTCTGGCAGGATGGACAAACGTCAGCGGGCTATGTGAGCAAGAGGAGTTCCTTCCCAGGTGCCTGACCTCCTTTGAGTGGCCAGAGAAGTGGACCGGGGCTGTCCAACTCGAAAACAAAGGGCAGAAGCTGTCTCCCTTCTTTGGCACTCAGGCTGGACATTGGGGTTTCACGAGCCAGTGGGAGCTGAATTCTGAAAGGGGTGCTCTCCATGGCTTGACTGAGAAGGGCTGGCTCAAGAAGCTCTTCCCCTGTCCGTCTCCCCCTCCCATCTAAAAAGAGGTGAAACTGGGCTCTTGACCCCTAACCCTGAACCTGGGTGGGCTCAGCGACCACCCATGGTCCACGCAGTCCAGAAAGGCAGGAGAGACTGGACCAAGTCCCGACTTTATCACGTGTGACCCTTGCCTTCAACTCCTTAATAGAATCTTTCAACCTGGAGGATGGGAATGCAAACAGCTTAGAGGAGGCCAAGAAACAATATGCCAGCATGTACTCCAGAAACCCCAGGTAAGAGCCCCAAGCACCAGGAGACCCAGGACGTGCCGCTCTTCTACCACAGTTCTGCTGCGACTCGGCAGCCCACCCTCCCCGCCAGAATGCAGAGCAGAGTGAGAGACACTGCTTATCGATTTAGAGCAGCTTTATGCTAGAGAGTTCTCTACTCTGTGTTATCCTAATCCCATGTATTGGATTTTTCCCAAATATAAAAATAATCCTACTTATTAACAGAAAATGTCAAAAAGAACAGAAGTACCCGAAAAAGAACATGAAAGTACTTCTTATCTCACCACTCAAAGAAAATCAATGTTAACCATCAAGAATATCCTCATTTTCTTTTATTTTGCACATTATTTTGTAGAGAAATGAGATCACAGTATTCATACAGTATTAGAGCTTTTAAAAAACTTATTTAATGGTTTTACTGAAAGATACATAAGAAGATAAGGGAAATCCAAGTCTCTGCCTACTTTCTAGCTTCACAGGAACCTAAGAAAAGCTAAAAAGGATGTCAGAGGAGAAAAAGTAGTACATGCCGGTGCTGCAAGGGGGAGGGGTGCTGAGAGGGGAACCCCACTTATAACATGGCACTCAGACAAGAGAGGCTGACTGCGGAGCGTCTCGCACTTCTGTGACCTCGCGGGGGCCATTTAGCTCTCGCACCTTTGGACGTGCCTGCGCAGACTCAGTCCTTGCGCCCTCAAAGGGTGACCCACGCCCTGCACCGCCCCAGCCCGCACAGCTGCCTCAATCGCGGCCTGGACTCTGGGGACCACGACCGGGCCCGCCTCATCTCTGGTGGCCCCAGGGTGTTTCCAGCACGGTGTAGGCTCAGACGGGCCTCTGAGTAGGCACCCGAGTACGTGTGTAAACAGTCTTACTCACTCTGAAAAGGGGACTGCACACGGCTTGTGATCAGAAGCTCCCGAGAACCCGCGGAGGCCAAGTGATGTTGTTTCCCTTCATTTTGGGCGGGGTTACTGATTTCTTATATTGTCTTCTCTGTGCTTTTCTGTATTTCCAGTTTTTTTAAACAGCGAATGTGTACTATAGCCTAAAGGAAATAATCAGGAGAGAAATGATTAAATTAAATTCACATTGTAGACACTGTGAGAATACAGAAAAGTATTAAGAAGGGTGTAATCACCTATAATCATAATCCGCACTGTTTGGTCATGTGAAGGGGAAGGGGCAAATGGTGTGTGTGTGTGTGTGTGTGTGTGTGTGTGTGTGTGTGTGTATTGAGTATATGTGGCAGGGTATATGTGGCCATATTTTACAAATCAGACTGGCCCCACCTAGAAATCAGCCTGGGAGACGATCTCAGTGAGGCAGACGTTAGCTATAGACTCTACCCCCCATTTATTACATAAGCCATGCTTTCCCTCCTGATTTAACATTATGAACACTATCCCATACTAAAATCTTATTAATACTTGTATCACCCACATCTGGATGGCTAAATTTCTTTCAGAATCATATTAATTAGGGAAGATTTTTCACTAGAATTATTATAAGCCTGCAATAATTAAAAGTGTGGTACCAGTAGAGGACTAGATTAATTGCATTTTATAATTATTGTATTTTTAATTAATTAACTAAATTATGAGTAAGCTTAAGTGCCTTTGTTCAGGGTCGTTTGTATTTCCCTTCCTGGAAGCTTTTTTTTTTAAACCTAATTTCTGCCCATTTTCCTGTTCGGTTGGTGGTCTTTTTCTTAGTGGTAGAAGCACTTTACATATCATGATAAATCAGCTCTCCTTCTAGTATATAAATTACAAACAATCATACCTTGGTTGGTTGTTTTACTATTTCAGCATTTCTGTTTTTTGTTTTGTCCATGCAAAAATGAAGTCTAATCTGTCGATCTACAATGGCACCTGATGTTAGGTGAGTAGTCAGACTTCTTCCACTCTGAAATTAAACAGAAAGAGAGAGAGAGACTGAGACCCCTCCTGTGTTATCTTCTGATGCACTTGCCTTTTGACTCAATCTGATGCCTTGGGGATTATTCCTGTCAGTATGAAGAGATTCTGAGTACAAGCCCTGGTTTTCCAAATTGTGTTATATTGTTTCATTCTCTTAAAACTGTCTTCTGAAGAGCAGAATTAAAAACTTTAAAGTCCAATTTATTCATGCTTTCTTTTCTAGGTGGAGCTTTTAGTTTAAACCCAAATATTTAACCATGGTTTTGGGTGCTACTGTAAATGCTACTTTTTAAATTTCAATTTCCAGTTATTCATTGCTAGTTTACAGAAATACTATTGGTTTTTGTATATCAACTTTGTATTCTGAAACCTTGCTTCCTTCTTAGTTCTGACCACATATTTTTAGGTTCTTTGGGATTTTCTACATAGATAATCACATTGTCTGCAAACAAAGACAATTTTATTTTCTCATCTCCAATCTGTACACCTTTCATTTCTTTGGTTCATCCTTTGGGATGGGCTATAATCTCCAGCATAATTTTGAATAGAAGTGGTAAGAGAGGACATCTTTCTCTTGTTCCTGATCTTGGTAGATAACCAATCTTTTACTGTTAAGTATGATGTTAGCTATAGGCTTTTTATAGATGCTCTTTATCAGGTTAAAGAAATTCCCTTCTATTCCTAGTTTGCTGAGAGTTTTTTAAAATCATGAATGAATGTTGAATTTTGCCAAATGCTTTTCTGCACATATTGAAATTAATATTTTTCCTTAATCTGTTGATATGGTGAGCTACACTGATTGATTTTCAAAGTTTGAATAAGCCACCTTATATTCCTAGGATAAACCTCACTTGGTCATAATGTATTTATACATATGTAGGGTAGGGTAGGTAGGGTAAGAGCACCATGTTGCCTGAAGGCTCAGGCACATCAGTCATGTCCAGCTCTTTGTGACCCCATGGACTGCAGCCCACCAGGCTCCACTGTCCATGGGATTTTCCAGGCAAGAATGTTGGAGCAGGTTGGCATTTCCTACTCCAGGGAATCTTCCTGACCCAGGGATCAAACCTGTGTGTCTTGTGTCTCCTGCACTGGCAGGCGGATTCTTTACCTGCCCACTTATTGGGGGAGCCCACTTATGCATGTATATAATATATATAAAATATGCTAAAACTGTATTAAAATGTTCATCCTTGATGTTCATGAGGGAAATTAGCCTGTAATTGTCTTGTTTCTATTTCCTCCCCAGTCTGGTGTCAAATAAAGTTCACTGGAAAGTCTCGGACACTTGGTGCTCCATCGAGGCAGCTGGGAACGATGTTGAGGAGGAAGAAGAGGAAGAAGAGGAGGAGGAGGAAGACCAAGAAGAGGAGGAAGAGTATGAGGAGGTGGAGGAGGAAGAGGAGAAAAAAGTGGAGCTCTTAAACTCCTCCGTCACCTTGCTGCCAGATCTCTTGGAATTTGAACGGTGTGAAAGGCCTGGCGCCTGTGGGGAAGGGGACAAGTGCTCCAGCGGAAGCACCCTACAGGCCCTGAGTCACAGGCCCTCCAGATTTCCACACAGGAAGGGCTCGGGGATGGGGTTGGCAGAGGGGCTAGAGAAATAGTCTTGAAACCACATTCGTGCAGCACATGCACTGTTTCCTTAGACTGACTTTATCTGGAGTGTCACTGTGGGGGTCTATTGGTGTGATTTGAGGGCTAAAGTGCTTCCCCACCCCCGCAGCATGATTGGTCTTGGAGCAAGGGAAGCAGTGAATGGCTAGCCCAGATTCCACCTGCTATTCACTGCTCCTTCACAAACTCAAGGCTGAACACATCCATGTATGTGGGCTTGGAGGAGTTGGCTCAACAGAAAGAGGCTTACTCCACAGCTTCCAAATTTAAGCGGGCTCCTATCATGTCTGCACATTCCTGGGCTCTAAATTTGAAGCCGTGTTCCCCTGGTGAGAGAGAGTCAGCCTGCCCTGCCTCTCATCCTCTCTTCTGTCTGACAGTGAGCTTCACAGAGAGCGCTGGGAGGACTTAGGAAGGGACCCCAAAACACAAAACTAAGTCGCCCATGGCCCCCAAGCTGGCTCTGCACTGCTCCGGTCAGGGCTGGTAGAGAATAATGAGGCTGAGTCCCTGGTGAACCACAGTGCGGGGCAAGGCCTGTGCTCTTCACCGCCCCCCTCCCCACCACAGGATCCCGAGGAGCCGCCTCGGGTTGGGGGACCTCGGGCCGCTGGGTTCAGGTCTGGGGGTCACTGCCCTTTCGGTTACAGGTACCTCAACTTTTACAAGCAGATGATGGACTTTCTGACCAGGAACAAAATCATCTCCTCCAAGGAGGTGACGCTCCCCATCGTGTCTGCGGCCATCTCCCATCTGTGGCAGATCCTCTCGGAGGAGATGAAGACCATGCTCTTCCAGGCCTGGGAGCAGACACAGAGCGGCCTCGTGGGGTCCTATCCCGAGCCGGCCTGCGCCGAGGGCAGCATGAAGGACAGCGGGGTTGACAGCCAAGGGGCCAGCTGCTCGCTCGTCTCCACCCCTGAGGAGGTGAGCCGACCCACGGGTGGGATGGAGGGTGGATAGGAATGACTCCATCATGTGCCTGGAGACGCCCCGGCAAGTTAGCAGGGTTCCCACAGCCACCTGGAGGTGCTCTCTGGATGTTGGCGCGGTACGTTTCTGATTTTCCCGACATATATGCACAACCACAGAACATTTATTTTTCTCCTGTTACCTTCCTGGCCTTTCCATGGGGATTACAGAAGAGATGGCTTAGAAGGCTGAATCCACTAGGATTCTTTCAGCTTCAAGTACTCGCTCATTAAGCCAAGAGGTGATGTACTCTGCCCAACCCGGGAGGGCCCGCGGCAGGAGGACTTCCGCTATGTCTCCCGGCCGTGTGGCCGTAGATTCGGTACTTCCCTTCTCCCTGCTCTGCCTTCTCTCAAGGCTGGCATCTCACCTTTCCCGCCCTCTCCATTTCCCGCACAGGGTAAAACTGTGGAACGGCGGCCAGTAGCAATCAAGTTCTTATTCCTTCTCCTCTACATCAGTTCACTTCAGTTCGGTCGCTCAGTTGTGTCCGACTCTTTGTGACCCCATGGACTGCAGCACTCCAGGCTTCCCTGTCCATCGTCAATTCAGGACTGATTTCCTTTAGGATTGACTGGTTGGATTGCAGTCCAAGGGCCTCTCAAGCGTCTTCTCCAACACCACAGATCAAAAGCATCCATTCTTCGGCGCTCAGCTTTCTTTATAGTCCAACTCTCACATCCATACATCCTCTACGTCAGGCAAGAGAAAACACTGCCTCTGGCTCTTAAACATCAAGGAAGAACATCTCCAGAAATTTCCACCATGGCTCTCCTTCCCTCTCATTGGTCAGAATTTGCTAGATTGCCAGGTTATTGAGCCAATGAAAAACCAAGATAGAAGTCTGTTTGGACCAATCAGGGTCAAGACCTGAGGGGGGGGTCAGTTCCCTCCCACCCCGCAGAGCGTTAGGGAATAGAGAGTAGGTACCCATGCCTTTACTGTAAATGCTCGAAGTTGAAGCTGTTAATGCCGGCCATGGTCAGCCAAGCAGAGTGCTGGTGCGCGTTAGCGGTCGCTGAGCGCTGAGATCAAGGTGGGCTCCTCCGCTGCTCTTCCAGAATTAGGACAGCCGCGGAAGGCTGCTGCTCCCACTTGGGGCCGCATCTTTCCTCCCTGCTCTAGCGGAGCGGGCAGTTCTTTGCTTCTCTGCTCCTAATCTAGTGCTTTGCAAGACATTCAGCTTGCATGGCGCCACCCCGCTGCTTTGCCCTGACTTTTCAAACGTTCCTCAGCAGGTGGTTTCTTTGAGGAGAGGTCCGGTGTCTCTCTGGGGAGTCTTAGAGCCAGAGAACCTCCAGGTGCCTCTGACGCTGGGGGAACAGCCCTCGTTGTTGCTCAGGCACTCAGTCGTATCCGACTCTTTGTGACCCCATGGACTGCACACGCCAGGCTTCTCTGCTCTTCACTATCACTTGGAGTTTGATCAAACTCATGTCCATTAAGTCAGTGATGCCATCCAATCATCTCATCCTTTGTCGTCCCCTTCTCCTGCCTTCTATCCTTCCCTAGCAGCAGGGTCTTTTCCAATGAGTTGGCGCTTCACACCCCAGTGGCCAAAGCATTGGAGCTTCAACTTCATCAGTCCTTCCAGTGAATATTCAGGGTTGATTTCCTTTAAGACTGGTTTAATCTCCTAGGTGTCCAAAGGACTCTCAAGAGCCTTCTCCAGCACCACAAATAGAAAGCATCAATTCTTCAACATTCAGTCTTTTTTATTGTCCAGCTTTCACATGCCTACATGACTATGGGAAAAACCATAGCTTTGACTAGATGGACCTTTGTTGGCAAAGTAATGTCTCTGCTGTCTAGGTTTGTCATAGGTTTTCTTCAAAGGATCAAGTGTCTTTTAATTTCATGGCTGCAGTCACCCTCTGCAGTGATTTTGGAGCCCCCCCAAAATAAAGTCTGTCACTGTTTCCATTGTTTCCCCATCTATTTGCCATGAAGTGATGGGACCGGATGCCTTGATCTTCATTTTTTGAATGTTGAGTTTTAAGCCAACTTTTTCACTCTCCTGTTTCACCTTCATCAAGAGGCTCTTTAATTCCTCTTTCCTTTCTGCCATAAGGGTGGTGTCATCTGTGTATCTGAGGTTATTGATATTTCTCCCAGCAATCTTGATTCCAGCTTGTGCTTCATCCAGCCCAGCATTTCACATGATGTACTCTGCATATAAGTTAAATAAGCAGGGTGACAGTATGCAGCGTTGACGTACTCCTTTCCCAATTTGGAATCAGTCTGTTGTTCTATGTCCGGTTCTGACTGTTGCTTCTTGACTTGCATATATGTTTCTCAGGAAGCAGGTAAGGTGATCTGGTTTCCCATTTCTAAGAATTTTCCACAGTTTGTTGTGATCTGCACAGTCAAAGGCTTTAGTCCTTGAATTAGTCAATGAAGCAGATGTTTTTCTGGCATTCTCTAGCTTTTTCTGTGATCCAGTGGACATCCCTGGATACCACGTTCCCTGGGAGGCCTCCCAGACTCCAGGGCCAGGCATGGGAAACTACTGTCACCGTGTCCTTCCAGCTCTCAGACGAGCCCAGTGTCGGGGAGGACCTATCCAGGATGCCTAGTTCCTGCTTTAAGGATTGCATCCTTTATCGAAGATTTTTTTTTTTTTTCAAATCTCTGCCCTTTGGTCACTTGTTTATGGTTAACCCTCCATGATCTCCCCATGCTTCTCAAGTGGAATTTAGTTAAAAGATAGGTGCTTGGCTAGTATTCTAGACCCGCTGAATCTGAGTCTTCAAGGGGATGGCTCAGAATCTGTGTTTTTAACAAGCACCCCAGGTGACCAGTGTGACTGCAAGGGACTCCCGAGGCGGAGTGGAGGTGGGGCAGGGACATGGGTTGACTGTGGCACATCCACCCTGGGAGTGGGCTCTCTGCAACCTAACTGCAGAGATCCCTTAACCTCTGTTCCCCTGGCATGAAACTACTAGATTGTGGATCCTGGGCTCAGTCTGTCCCTCAGGCGGTGTAGATGAGCCCTTTCCCATGTAAACAGGGGCTCACCTCTGGCTGTTGCCTCTCCCACCTAAGCTCCCACCCTCTTTAAAAAGAGGAGACCATGGTCCCCAATGCTTCCCCATTTCTCAGCCACTCTCTGGGGTTGGCAGTGTGTTCTGGGTGGGCAAGAACTTAATATTCATCCCCTGTAAAGGTCACCAAGCAGAGACCCTGGGTTTGGGCCTCATCTTTAACATGCATCCCTTTGGGGACAAGGGGTAGGGAGCCTTTCTATCCCTCAGCAGCCCAGAACAAACATCAGAGTGTGGCGGATTTCTAACACATGAAGTTTTATGGTTTCTTTCAGATCCTTTTTGAAGATGCCTTTGATGTGGCAAGTTTCCTGGACAAAAGTGAAGCTCCAGGCACATCTAGCCCCAGGTAAGGAGGGGTATGAGACTGTGTGTGTGTGTGTGTGTGTGTGTGTGTGTGAGTGTGTGTCCCTGCTGGGGTGTTTAGGACCCTCTCCCTTGCAGCCTCTCAGAGGGGAGCATAGTTCAGTGGAAGTTCTTGGAAATCCACTTTTTCCTGTGATTCAGAAGAGGCTGGTTCTAGGATTGTGCCATTGCCCTGGGGAGGATCTTCTCTGGGGCTTCTTCAACATAGACAGTTCTTCCGTTATGGTCCAGGGCTGAGATACATCAACCAGAGTTGTCAACTCTAGGTGGTTTGCACTGTCTCCTGGGGTGAGGTGGCCGTGGGTGGGTTACAGCAGTCAGTCTGGTTTGAGAAGTGGACAGGGAGCTCTGGGGCACAGAGAGCCTGGGCCAACGTGGCAGCAGGCCCCATGCCTGAGCCTGGCGGGGAGGGACAGGGTCTCTGAATTGCACAAGGGGAGGAGCTGTTTTCACAGTGCTGATGGGAAGGATGTAGAAGGAGGGGATGACCCCCTGAAGTCAGAAGAGCATCTGGGGAGATTTTAAAACAAGCAGCAGCTTGGTTTTTTTAAACACACACACACACATAAAAAACAGTTTTGTTTCCTCAGAAAGAGAGAGTTTAGCACTAAAATTTCCTTGCTACTTTGAAAAGCTGTGGTCTTACAGCCTAAAGGCACAGCCCCCTCAGATACCTGGTTACAAAGGAGCAAGAAGGGATTTCCTTGGTCATCCAGTGGTTAAGACTCCACACTTTCAAAGCAGGGGGCTGGGGATGGATCCCTGGTCAGGAAACTAGATCCTGTGTGCTGCTAGTAAGACCCACAGAGCCAAATAAAAAATTTTTTTTTTTTTTAAAAAGCATCAAGAACATGTAGTCTTTCTGCCTTGTGAGTGAGGTGACATTCTTGTTCTCATGATCCCAAAGAACATCTCCATTCTTTTTAAGGCCTGTGGCTCCAGCCTGGAGCCCTGGAAGCCTGCAGGCAGATCAGACTGCAGTATTTGCAACTCAGCTGCCACCCCCTCCCCCACCCCCAGTCCAGCCAGACTTGCCCCAAATCTCAAAGCGATTTTCTGTGGTGACTCTTCCCTGTATAGAGTTTGATTTTGCTGAAACCAGCTGGAGACAGACATTGCTATTTCTTTGTTGGGCTTGGGCTGTGAACACAATTTGGTTGAAAAGTGGCCAAAGTGTACTTGACAAATAATTTTGTTAACTCCTCACCCTGCTGGTGGAACAGAAAACAACCAATTAGGGGAAAAAAAAAAAGTGAGGTGAGGTCAAAGCACCACCAGCTGTCCAGGCCTGATTCACGGTCCCGTTGGTGGGCTCCTCCCCTTGTCCCAGAAAAGAGCAGGAAAAAAATCTTCAGGGCAGCCTTCCGTCTGTGCCAGGGCTGGCGTTTCACGTTAGACCTCCTGAGCAAAGGCATTTCAAGGGACTGAACTTGATCATGCCCTGGGCTTCCTGAGCCTGGGCAGCCACTGGTGGGAGCAGAGCCTGACTTTGGGCAGAGAGGAGATCTTGCTCCTTGTTCCCCAGGCCACAGCTCAGAACACTGAACGAGGACCCATGGGCCAGCCTCCCTGTAGTCTTGCTTCCCCAGCAGCTTCCAGACATGATGCTGGAACTGGGATGGTGCAAACCTTCCACAGAAGGCGCTGGGCCACGGGAGGGTTCAGCTGTGTGCTTCAAAGTGTTTGATTCTCATTGTAATCCAGATATTTTTAGAGGGTGCAAGCAGAGGTGGAGATTGAGGGGAGGATGAGAAGGGGCAACAGAGGATGAGACGGTTGGATGGCATCACCGAACGAATGGACATGCATTTGAGCAAACTCCGTGAGATGGTGAATGACAGGGAAGCCTGGCGTGCTGCAGTCCATGGGATCACAAAGAGTCACATACAATTTAGTGACTGAACAGCAACGACAAAGCGGAGGTAAAAAGTTAGGATTCTAAATGCTGTTTCTTCCTCCTTTCTGCCGTTAGTTCCATGTTGGCCGTCTGCAACCCAAAAAGTCCTGAGGAGATGTTTCAGCTCTACGTGCAGATCATCGATTTTTTCAAAGGCCTTTGCTGTGTTAACACTCAGTTCAAGCAGGTAGGATGGAGCAGGGTGCAGTCAGGCCTTGGCTCGCCTCCCCTCAGATGGTGGGCTCTGGAGGGGCGCTCTGGCTGCACCTCCCCAGTTCACACCACGGGGGACGTTCTTCCACGGATAGGTGACTTTAGTCTAATGCATCTTGTGGAAGGAGCATGTCCAGGGAAACAGGGAAAAGGCAGAGGGATGCTCTTCAGGGCACATCTGAGCCTGGGAACCTTGAGGCAGGGACCAGACCTCAGAGGCCTGGCCCTTGGCAGGCATTCCTACATGTGTGATTCCTTGATGCCTTTCTGAGAGGCTGAACTAGTTCATCATTTTCTGAGACCCTGGGGTAATATTTGCTGTCAGCTTTTGAAGGATATTAATTTTTGCTTCCAAAAAGCTGACTGTGCAGCCCACAGTGACATGCATTGTGGGGGTCTTGGTTAGAAGGTCCATTCCTAGAAGTTTCTGTGGAGGGAGGGGGTTATTCATGAACTGCCAAGGAGACAGCCCCTTTCAAATTCAGAGCCATGGATTTTCCCACTGATTTAGCAAAAATATAGCTGTTTATTTTAAAAGGTACGTGATAGTGATGAAAACGGCCAAAAATAATCAGGGCAGCTTTTCAGTGTGGCCCCTTTCCTGCTCACCCTTCACTTCCCTCTGCTGAGACCACTTGGAGCCAAGACCCTTCCCTGCAGTTTGCTCTCTGCACTCCCCCACCAACCTTTGGCCACCAGCCCTGACCACTGAGTCCCTTTCTCTGGATACAGTGAAGTCAGGTCACTTTACCAAGGCTTTGAGAGCAGATGGATGGGACAGTCTTTGCTTTCCCCACTTCGTTACTCTACACATTGCAGGAAAGAAAGAACTGGCAGGACTGGAGCCCATGTAAAGCAGAGGCAGACTTGACTCACCTTGGGAACTCACTGGAATGCAGATTCCTGACGTCCCCACACCCAAGATTTCCATTCAGTGTTGTGAGATGTGGCCCCAGGAATCTGTGTCTTGAACAAGCTGCCCAAGAATGTCCTCATGCAGGAGGCCTCAGGCCTTGGTACAGGGTGTGTAAAGAGGGCAGCTGCATTCTCTTCCCCGTTCATCCCTCACTGTTGGCTTCAGGGAGGTGGTTGGATGAAACTTAATTAGTACCTGTATTGGTTTCCTAGGACTGATGTAACAAATTACCACAAACTCAGGGGCTTAACAACAAAAATTTATTTCCCCAGAAGGCCCAGTTTCGGTGTTGACAAGCCATGCTCCCTCTGAAACCTCTAGGGGAGAATTCTTCCTGCCTTTTCCTAGCTCCCGGTAGGCTCCCAGCAATGCCAGAGATCCCTGGACTTGTAGCTGCATCACTGCCTCCATCTTCTGTGTGTCTCTCTGTCCCTCTCATCTTGTAAGGACACCTATCATTTGGATCGAGGGCACACCCCAAATCCAGGATGACTTCAGCTTACAGCCTTAGTTAATCACACCTGCACAGACTCTAGTTCCAAATAGGTTCCAGGTGGACATGAACTGGGGGGAATGCTACTCAACACACTTCAGCACCCAGTCCCAGCAGACACCTCTCGCAGCCTAGCAGTTTCACAGATCTGCAGCTGAAGAGTCCCTCATCACCATTTTCAGGGGCCTGGAGATGGTTGGATGGCATCACTGACTTAGTGGACATGAGTTTGGGTGAACTCTGGGAGTTGGTGATGGACAGGGAGGCCTAGCATGCTGCAGTTCATGGGGTCACAAAGAATCAGACGTGACTGAGCGACTGAACTGACTTACTGAAAGAAGTAGGACACTTGGAATGACATTCAGGCACACTGTGACAGACTCCAGTGTGTGGCTCCCTCCCCAGATGTTTGGCCTCTGGGCATCGTCCACGTTCCTGCTCCCCCTTTTCTCAACCTTTGCCACCATCCTCACCCTAAACAAGGGGTCGGGGTGATTTTCCTTTGACCAGTTCTTCCCCCTCTTGGATACCCTGGCTCTGATGTGCCCCACCTCTATCAGGAGGGCACAGCAGGTGAGGACAGTTCTCTCTGGAGCTGAAGAGGCTTCATTCTCAGAATCACCCCCAATCTGGTCCCACATCCATGAGATGGTTGGCTGGATTAGGGGTGCTTCCCAAGGCCCAAGGGAATCAACCCCTAACGAGCAGGGCTAACAAATTACAGGGGTGATTTTCTGCTTTAGTGGGGATACGCAGGAAGAACACAAACCCAGGAATGTACTTTTAGGGGAAGAGTTAATGAGGAATCAGAGAAGTTAGCTGGTGTCATCATTAAGGGAATGAGAAACGCTTGCTAAATTAACATAATGCTGTTTCTTTTCAAAATGATCTCCAAATAGCTAACCCACGAACATGGTTTAAAGTTTAAATGTTACCAAAAGATATACAAAGAAAACGTAGTCTCTCGCCTACCAGTGTCCCTTGTTCCTATTGTATTCCCTTCCCCAAAGGCAGTTATCATGACCAATTTCTTATACGGTCATCCAAAAATATTCTCCAGATATTTATATAATCTATCAAATACAAATGGTATTCCCAGGTGGCACTAGTGGTAAAGAATCTACCTGCAATGCAGGAGACCCGGGTTCGATTCCTGGGTCGGGAAGATCTCCTGGAGAAGGAAATGGCAACCCACTCCGATATTCTTGCCTGGAAAATGCCATGGACAGAGAAGTCTAGCAGGCTACAGTCCATGGGATCGCAAAGAGTCAGACACAGCTGAGCACACATACATCAGACACAATTGGTAGCCCACCATACACACTCGTTTGGACCTTGCTCTTTTAAGATAGAGTATCCCACAGAGAAGGATCCCTTTCCTTTTATTGGAAGCAGCTGCATGATATTCCACGGGTGGGTGCATTGTGGTATAATTCATCATCCTTTGTTGAGGGCATTTGGATAAAGCTTTAAGATTGCCCCTGTCTCACTCACGGGATCTTAGAAATCCCCAGGAGAGGAGAGAAGCCAGTTCTACTGTATCCAGGAGAGGCCCTTCTGGAGACTGTAGGGTATGGAGTCGAGTGAAATGGAAATGGACTCCCTGCCTCTCATTGCTCTTAACTTCCTGGCTGGAAGCTGGAAGAGAAGATACCGCTGAAGAGATGTGGGGGAGAAGCAGAGGGGGGAGGCATGCCTGAGATGTTGGGGCCATCTCCCCCACCTGAGGCCTGGAGCCCTCAAATAAAACTTGAATCCTCCTCTACCTGTGTTTTGCAGGAACCAGACCTTCCCATCGACGACGAGATGATAATGCTGAGGTGCACGGAGACGTTTGACGATGAAGATCTGTGATGCAGGAGGGATGGAGGAAGCTGGTGGTCTCTGGTTCTGAGTTCTGGCAGCCCAAGTTGCCCTTGACTTGGCGTTTTGGAGTGGGCTGTCCTGAAAGCATTTTGATGGTTGTAGTTTCTGGTTGTTATAAAGTGTTCAAGAACGGTGCAGTTGTGTGTCGGTCTTTCGGAGTTGTTTTGAATGAGGTGCTGGCCCGCTGCAGGGCACACACCTGCTCCCGCTGTGCTCCTGTTCAGGGGAGCACCCGAGGAGCAGGCCAGCCAGGAGTCTTTCAGGAACAGGACGGCCAGGATCTGTGCCATGACACTGGGTACTTGCAGCACATTCAGGGCATCGTGTCGATGGGTTCTAGAGAGCTCTGGCATCCACCCCACATCCTGCAAGCTCTCAGAGCCCAGGAGCAGTGCTGACCTCAACCTTGTGCTCCAGGACACCAAGGCAGAATCACCTATATCTGCTGCTTCTGACAGTAAAGCCTCCTGAAGGGAGTCCACACCAGGTCCACAATGCTCGGAATGCTTTTTGGTGAGGCTGCTGGGCAGAGTGCATCAGGCCACCTGAGCCTGTGTACGGGGGGTGATGGTTATTATTACATGTCAGCTTGGCAAGACCGTGGTACCCAGGTACTTGGTCAAACATTTTTCTAGATATTTCTATGAAGGTTTTGGTGTTTTTTTAAAGAAGAGATTAACATTTAAATCAGCAGACTTTGAGTAAAGCAGATTACCCTCCATAGTGTGGGTGGGCCTCATCAAATATGTTGAAGGACCAAACAGACCATGCTTGCAACCCCATGGCCCTGAATTCTCCAGGCCAGAATACTGGGTTGCTATTCCCTTGGATATTCCCAACCCAGGATCAAACCCAGGTCTCCCACATTTCAGGCAGATTCTTTACCAGCTGAGCCACAAGGAAGCCCAAGAATACTGGAGTGGGATCTTCCCAACCCAGGAATCGAACCAGGGTCCCCTGCATTGCAGGCAGATTCTTTACCAACTGAGGTGTCAGGGAAGCCCTAATTCTTCCTCAGGAAGAGGGAATTCCTCCAGGGACTGCCTTCAGATTCCAGCTGCAACTCATCCCAGCCTGATGGCCCACCCTGCAGACTTCAGACCTGCCAGCCTCCACAATCAACTGAGCCCAATCCTGAAGTCAGTCTCTCCATCTGCCTTCCCCGTGTGTGTGTGTGTGTACATATATATGTCTCTCTGTAGACATGTATGTATATATGTGTATATATATGTATGTACACACACACCCTATTGGCTCCGTTTTGCTAGAGAATCCTGACTAATCCGTTGAGGATGCAGAGAGAACAGGCTCACCTGGCTCTGTAGAGTTTATGGCTCATGACAACAGTGGCTCCACTCCACTGACGGCCTTTCAGAGGCTTTGGCTGTTTCATGTCCCCGTGAGAACCTGAAGTGCAGGTTAAGTCTCAGGGTCCAAACCTGGTGCCATCTGACTCCACACCCCCAGTGCTCCCTGCCTCACCATACCATCCTGTGATGCACAATCTGACTCCAAGGACTAGCACTGGGGATATGCAGGGACTGTAGCTTTGCAGACCCTTCAGTGTTTACAGGGGCTTCCCAGGTGACACTAGTGGTAAAGAACCTGCCTGCCAATGCAGGAGAGGTAAGAGAGGCGGGTTCCATCCCTGGGTTGCAAAGACCCCCTGGGGGAGGAAATGGCAACCCACTCCAGTATTCTTGCCTGGAGAGTCCCATGGACAGAGGAGCCTGGTGGTCTAATGTCCAAAGGCTTGCAGAGTCGGCCATGACTGAAGTGACTTAGCACAAGGGCGGCGTTTACCAGTGGCAGGGGCCTGGAGGGGAAGGGCCTGACTGGGAGGAACCTGGATGGGAGGGGTCAGCAGGCCTCATACTGCTTTGCGGAGGAAGAGTAATGTTACTGTCACCTTTCAGCTAACAGCCCCATCTCTGTCCCCTGCCCCACCCAAAGCCTCTGCCTCCCAAGGCATCAATACTGCCTAGAGGCTTTCTGTGTGGACACCGGGCTGCACTGGTTTACACTGGAGACGGGAGGGCTGGAGCATGGGGTAAGGATGTAGCTGGAGGCCAGACCTCGCTGACTCACTGACGGTGTCACAGCACGCTTGCCCTGGCCTTAATCTAACACTTGTCTAACTCTGCCACCAAGTGTGGGGCGCAGAGGTGCTCAGGACGACAGGGTGCCTCCCATGCGTGGGTGGGCAGAGGAGCACACGGTGGGGACGGTGCACTCGGGGCCCTCTCACATGCGGGTGTCCACGGCGCTCTCGGGCCGCTCTCCTGAGGGGTCCCGGGGGCACAGCGAGAGCCGGCTCGCCCCCACCTCGCCTTCCCCGGGCCAGAAGGGGAGGCAGCGGGAGCAGGAGGACGCGCAGAGCCTGGTGCCGCTCCCCCAGGGGAGGCCGTAGACCTCCAAGGCCGTCGTAGTCTCCTCAGACTCCTCCTGGCCTTGATTCCATGCCAGGAGGCCTCTCTCCGCCAGGCTTCCTAACAGGAGACAGCAGCGGGGTCAGGACTGGCCCAAGGGAGCAGGCGGACCTGGGCGGGAGGAGCCTCTGCAGAGGCCAGTTCGCAGCGCCCTGGTCCTGCCGGCAGCTCCTCCTTCTCCTCCCCCCAGCCCATCCCAAGAATCAGCTCAGCTCAACTCCGCCCAACTCGACTCAATGGATGTGAGAGTTGGACCATAAAGAAGCCTTGAGAGCCAAAGAATTGATGCTTTTGAGCTACGGTGCTGGAGAAGACCCTTGAGAGTCCCTTGGACTGCAAGGAGATCAAACCAGTCCATCCTAAAGGAAATCAAACATATTCATTAGAAGGACTGAAGCTGAAGCTCCAATACTTTGACTACCTGATGCGAAGAGCTGACTCACTGGAAAAGACCCTGATGCTGGGAAAGATTGAAGGCAGGAGGAAAAGGGGTCAACGGAACACAAGATGGTTGGATGGCATCACTGACTCTATGGACATGAGTTTGAGCAAGCTCCGGGAGATAGTGATGGACAAGGAAGCCTGGCGTGCTTCAGTCCATGTGGTCACAAAGAGTCAGACACGACTGAGTGACTGAAAAACAACAGCTCAGCTCATCACCAGGCATTTTCTGAGTTCTGGGGTGTGACCTTCTATGAACCACTGTACTTTCCTCTTCTTCTGGGGTGGACTTTCTATGTTTCAGTTTCTGGTATGCAGATGTATTTTACATTCAGTGGAGAGAAGAAACGTGGAAAACAGCATATCATGAAGCAGGAGTTATTACAGAGGTCCTTTCAAGAAACTGTAGGAGGACCAAGAAGGGAGCACGGGGAGCCACCAGTGAGGACAGCTCTGCACCCTTCCCCTGACATCCTCAGCACTGATGGGTTTGATGTGCTCCTCACCACACTCAGGGCCCTGTATGGTAATGGTCTGTGGTTGTGTCTCCCTTTCCGACAAGCCTGTGAGGCTACAGAAGGCAGGGCAGGTCCTGCTGCTCTCTGCATGCTCAGTACAGGGCACCTGGAACACAGCACACCAGCTGTGGCTTGTGTTGGAATATGAATATATACATGTGTTCTCTCCCTCCCCAACTAGACTGCAGGCTCTAAGAGAGCTGGGGCTGTGCCTTTTAAGCTTTGCTTCTAGCATATTTCCCACCTTAGGGTCCTTTTATAGGCTGAATTGTGCTCACCCACCCACCCCCCAAATCATGTTGAAGCCCTAACTCCCTTCCTCACATTCCTCAGAACGTGACTATATTTGTAGACAGGGACTTTAAATCACCCCACCCAGACCCCAACTGCCAGTTTTCAGAGCAAAGATGAGTCCTACCAGGGATGGTGTTGTCCAACAGAAATCCCAGAAATCCACCAACAAACATGCCCGTGGTCAGCAGCACCTGGATGACTTGGTCCAGCTGGAGAATCCCTAGAGTGGAGACAAAAGTGACAGGAATTAAAAAGTGGGCCGGGGATCTTAACAGAGATTTTCCCAAAGAAGATGTCCAGTTGACCGACGGGTACATGAAAGGTGTTCAACATCACAGATATCAGGGAAATGCAAATCAAAACCACAGTGACATACCATCTCACACATGTTAGGATGGCTTTTACCAAAAACAACTGAGAAGTGGTGGCAAGGATGTGGAAAAATAGAAACCCTTACATATCATTGATGGGACTGTAAATTAGTGCAGCCATATGGAAATAAGCATGGACGTTCCTTAAAAATTTTTAAATAGAACTACCATATGACCCAGCAATTCTACTTCTGGGTATTTATTCAAAGAAAATGAAAACACCAACTCAAAAAGATATATGCACAGCCACATTCACAGTAGCATTATTTACAACAGCCAAGATATGGAAACAACCTGAGTGTTCATCAGTGGATGAGCAACTAAAGAAAATGTGGTGTATATTTACAACGGATATTATCCGGCCATAAGAAAAGAATGAAATGTCGCTATTTGCACAACATGGATGGACCTTTAGGGCATTATGCTGTGAAATAAATCAGAGAGAAAGACAAATATGTATGATCTCACTTATTATATGTAGACTCTTTAAACAAAATAAAAACTCATAGAAAAAGAGATCAGATTTGCGGTTACCAGAGGCGGGAAGTGGGAAAAGGAGGTGCTGGAGGAGGGTGATCCAAAGGTACACACTTCTGGTTACAAGATAAGTTAAGTATGAGGGGTATAATATACAACATGAAAACTATGGTTAACTCTGCTGTATGTTAACCATACAGTTGTTAACAGAATAAACTCTAAGAGTTCTCATTACAAGGAGAAAATTTTTTCCTTTTTTCCACACTTCTTTTTATTGTATCTATATGAGATGATGGGTGTTAACTAGACTTATTATGGTAATCATTTCACAATGTATGTACATCAAAACTTTATGCTGTATACCTGGAACACATACAGTGATTTATGCCAGTTATATCTCAACAAAACTGGAAATAAGTAATGGTGATGTAATGTACAACATGGTGACTATAGTTAAC